GTGCTGCCCACAACTATGACTACTGTCATGGGCCTGGAACCCTCATCTTATAAGACCTCTGTGTACCGGCAGCAGCAACCCACAGTGCCCCAGGGACAGCGCCTTCGCCAACAGCTCCAGGCAAAGATAGTGAGAGGGGCAGTAGGGAGGACTTTCAGGGAGAGGGATTTTGGCGGGTCACAAGACTGAGGAGATACTTGGGACCTTCACAAGAACACGCAGGGTAGGAGGTATGAAAGACATGGCAGAAAGCATTTCCTGAATTTGACTTCTCCTTTTTCCCTTTAGCAGAGTCAGGGGATGTTGGGACAGTCATCTGTCCATCAGATGACTCCTAGTTCTTCCTACGGTTTGCAGACTTCCCAGGTAAGTGCCCGAGACTATGAACATCAAGGAGAGGGGACCAAGCTGCTATACACCCTCATGCCCCAACTCTCTCTCATCCTTCTCTCCAGGGCTATACTTCTTATGTTTCTCATGTGGGATTGCAGCAACACACAGGCCCTGCAGGTACCATGGTGCCCCCCAGCTACTCCAGCCAACCTTATCAGAGCACCCACCCTTCTACCAATCCTACTCTTGTAGATCCTACTCGCCACCTGCAACAGCGGCCCAGTGGCTATGTGCATCAGCAGGCCCCAACCTATGGGCATGGACTGACTTCCACTCAAAGGTATCCAAAGTTAGTGGTGAACTGGGAAGGGGCACTGAGATATAAGCAAGCATCTGATTTGGGAAATCCCATACTTGAGGTAATAGATAAGCCTGAACTTTGGGAGAGCTCAGGAACAGTAATCTTGTCCCATAACCATTACCACAAACAACCTGAGCTGGAACGGACCCTAGAGACCAATAGTCTCGCATTTACAACCTTGGCACTTCCTTGAGGACCTGAAAGAAGAAGCAAATGTAGCTAACTTTGATAAGAAGGGATCTAGGGGTTTTAGACATAGTAAGGAATAAGGAGTCCTAAATCCTGTATTAAATAGGCAACTCTAGGGCTGAGGATGTAGTTTAGTTGATAGCATGCTTACCTAGCATGCATGAAGTCCTGAGTTTGATTCCCAAGCACCACATAAAACCTGATGTGTTGATGCACACCTTCAACACCAGCACTCAAGAGGAGGATCAGAAGTTCAAGATCATCCTTGGCTACATAATGAGTTTGAGGCCAGCCTGAGCTACATGAGACCCCTGTCTCAAGGGGAGAAAAAGCAGTTAAACTCTAAAATGGACTAAAAAATAAATTTCATGATTAATTCTAGGCAAATCTTAGTTAAGACCTGGTTAGCTGTCATGAGACTCTGCAACTTAGGATTCAGAATATTCTAGAGTGGGCTGATTAATTGCCTGCTGTGTAGCCAACGTTATGTAAGGAATAGAGCGAGGAAAGATAGTGAAGAAAACATACAAGGTTCCTCACCACAAAGATTCTTTGACCCTAGTTGAGAAGTAGAGGTCTTACACAGAAGAAGAAGAATAAACCATGCAGAAGAATGTTTAGAGGATGGTATGAACAAAGACATAATCAAGTGTTCAGTTGGGTGCCAACAAATATAAAATGAGACTTGAGAAAAAATGGGTGTAGATGAGAGTCACTGGAGAAAGATTCATTGATTGAGGCTGACCATTAAGGATAGCTACGATTGGGATTCATGGGATTCATGGGAAGGGGGAAAGGAAGGGCCTTCCAGGTAAAGGTAGCAGCATGAGCAAGAACATGGGACTGGATTGAGTGTCTGGAGACAGGAAGGAGCAGATCTTAAATGTATTGTGAAACTTGTGCTAGGGAAGGAGCAGGGGAAAGGTTAGAGGGCACAAGCTGGCATATGACATTGAATAGTGAGCTACAGCATTGAGACACACCCCGGCAAAGACTGCTTTGCTCAGTAGAGTGATAGGAGGAGCTTGGCATGGTGAGAGGGCACAGTGGAAAGAGTGGACAGAGTGTAGGGGAAGGTGGGAGAAGATGAGCGAGGGAGCCCAGCTGCCGATTGTCAGGGATGGGCAGATTTAGGTAGAATAGGCATATGGAGTAGCAGAAAAACTGGGGGTGTTTCTGGGGCACAACAGCAACCACAAAACCCTGGATAGGTGTTTATAGACTGCTTATCGTGTGCAGACTGTTTTTCATAAGAGAAAAATAGCTGAAAGAGAATTGAAAAATTCCTAAGCATTAAGGTTATGAGACAGTAAAATGGAGTATTGTCTTTGTGTTTTATTCCCTGACCTAGAAATCTGTCAGACTCCAGAAGGGCTCCTCTAGCTAGTGCCAAGAGGAATGAATACAATGACTTGTTAGTTTCTTTCAGGTCAGGGACCCAGGGTTTGTACCACCCCCTTTCTCTGCCCTGTGCTTTGACCCCTGGACCTCTTGTCTTTGGAGGTTTTCACACCAGACACTGCAGCAGACACCCATGATGGGTACTATGACTCCACTGAGTGCCCAGGGTGTCCAGGCAGGCGTCCGTTCAACTTCCATCCTGCCTGAGCAGCAGCAGCAGCAGCAGCAACAGCAGCAGCAGCAGCAGCAGCAACAGCAGCAGCAACAGCAGCAGCAGCAGCAGCAGCAGCAGTACCACATCCGACAGCAGCAGCAGCAGCAGCAGCAGATCCTACGGGTAAGGCCCTGGGATTGTGTCTGAGACTTAGGAACCCAAGAAAGAAAGGGTAGAGTCTTCTCACACTGTCCCCAAGACGAAACATGACGTAATGTGCTAAGTACCCAGCAGAATGGGTGATGTATGGTGGTACTCTTTGTTTTCTTCAAGCAGGGTCTTATACTCAAGGCAATCCTCCTGCCTCGGCCTCCCGAATGCTGGAATTACAGGCCTACATCACCATATTGGGTTTGATCCTAGTGCTTAAGTGGTTTCCTTTCCCCTCCTTTTCATTTCCTGAGTATCAGTTAGGGGGCAAGTAGGCACTGTCTGCCAAATACACTGGTTTCTCTCAGAGGTGGACCCAGAGTTCCCTCACTGTTCCTTGGCCCCAACTCCCTTTTTTTTTCCCTTCCTGCTCCCATCTTTTCAATACAAAGTCATAGCTCTTCTTAAAATTTCCTTGTGTGCTTGTAGCAACAGCAGCAGCAGCAGCAGCAGCAACAGCAGCAGCAGCAGCAGCAGCAGCAGCCACCGCCGCCGCCACAGCAACAGCAGCCACACCAGCAGCAGCAGCAGCAGGCAGCTCCTCCTCAACCCCAGCCCCAGTCCCAGCCCCAGGTAGCCGTGGGCCTCTAGCCACAGGCTCCAGAATAGCACAGGATGGGCACACAGCTAGCCTACACTAGGAACAGTGTGTGATGGGGTAGTGTTGGGAGGATAGGCACGACACTAATAGCTTAGGAGGTATGGGTGAGGACGGAGGTGGAAGGGTGGAGTTCCATCTTCCACTTTCCATTTCCACCCAGTTCCAGCGGCAGGGGCTTCAGCAGACCCAGCAGCAGCAACAGACAGCAGCTCTGGTCCGGCAGCTTCAACAACAGCTCTCCAGTAAGCCTGCCTCCTTCCCAGGAAGAATCTGGGGAAGAAGTGGGGATGGGGTAGGCAGAGTTGGCTGAGGTGTTGGCTTCAGGCCCAGGTTATGGCAGTCCCTTCCCCTTTTTCCTTTCCCTTCCCATCTGACTAGCTTTCCTCATTTTTCACAGATACCCAGCCACAACCCAGTACCAACATATTTGGACGCTACTGAGTCACCTGGAGGAACAGCTTGTACACTGGATGTGGCCCAGCCTTTCTGCTTAATTCCCAGTCCCCTTCCTGGGCGAACTCCAGTAGTGGTTGGGGTCCTTCCCTCAGGCTCCATTTTTAATGAATTTTTAGTATTTTTGTTAATGTGAAGCATTGAACTGTTGGGTTTTGTATATTATTTATATAGAGACCCCAGAGCTGTTGCGCCCAATACATAGAGCTTCTTTGCAAAGGAAATGTGTGAATCTACACATGGAAGGGTCCCCCCAAGAGTGCCAGGAAAAGGATGAACAACTCAGAGCCTTCGTGCCTTCCATATTCTCTCCCGCCACTCACCCTCTACCATCTCCATTTTGGAATTCTGCTATCCTTTCTTCCTGCTCAAAAGCAACCTGCAATGAGCTCCAAGCCCTCAAGTTCTTTTGGGGTAGCTTACCTCCTCAACTAAACAGTGCAGCTTCTTTACGGCCGTCTTCCACTGGGGACATAACACTAGAAGAAGGGGGTTCATTGGGCTGGAGAGAAGTCACTGGAACACCATCATCCTTCAACAACACTCCAGATACTAGGTCTCAAACAAGCTGAGAGTAGGGACAAAAGCCAGACAATACCTTTTCTTTTGTCATCTCATATGGTCCCTATCATACATCAGGCTGGCTAGAGAACTTGCCCGAAGATAAACATTTCTGGGCTGAGAAGTTGCTCTCTAAGGGTATGATGTCAAAGAGTAGGTGACAGAAGTCCAGAGTGGCTGTAGCAGGAAGAGAGGCCAGCAAAAAGCCACACCTGCTTCTCTGTGGCTTGCTATTGGAACTTCATGTTTTCACACACCTACCTTGGCAGTTTCCCAGGGTAACTCTTGCTCACTCCCTTCAGAGTCACTTTTGGAACAAGGACTTGGTCATTCTCAACTTCTTTGTGACCTGTTTGCCTTGGGCATTTGACCCAGGGCTGTGTTGGAGACCCCAATTGCTTTATGACAATGGTGATTTCTGGTCTGCCCAGCTGGGGCTAGAAGAGAACTATACAAGCCAGGTGGTTGGTGGACAACTGAAGGGGACGCTCCAAGCTGTAGTTACACACTATCACTGGGAAGTGTTCAGTATACTGATAAAAGCAGGAGTGCCAATCAATATCCAAGTTGTTTTTAAAAGTCCTTCTGAGCCCACAAAGCTCTCCTACACGTGGGATTTGCCCAAGTTGTGAGTAAGAAATGGGGCTCCCTGGTATGGTAAATCCAACACATACGAAGCATTTTTTTCCCCCTGACTTTATCATGGCATAGATAACTCCAGGAGCCATATTGGGTAGAAGTTTGGGATGAGGGACATTCACCAGGGATTTGAGGATGGATGTGTGCTAGGTCAGGTACATTACAGAAACTAGATAAAGGCATTAGCTATTGGGATGGGGTGGAAACCATAATGGTTAGACAACTAGTGTGCAGACAGTCTGAATCTGAACTGCCTTAATAGAGCAGAAGAGAATGACATTGACCTCTGGGAGGTTAACAGGATGAGGGCAAAGCAGCCCCACTGGTGTTTGCTGGTTGGGTGGTGCTGAGACTGATGAGGTGGTGGTTGCCAAGTAAGGTCTCTGTGGCAAGAAACTGGGGTCTTCTGCATACAGTGCCTCAGTTTCTCAGTGTCAAGGTCTCAAGCTTTGCAGATAAACTTTGGGCTTGCTGTCCTGGACGATCACCTACCTATCTGACAGCTTTGGATGTGAGGTGTGGAGGGGTGGGTAGAGTGGGAGCAGAGCTTGCTTGAACATGGGATGGGGGTATTGGGCCATGCCCCAGGACTTGAGCCATCACTGGCACAAAAGGAGTTAATGCCAGGGACCGCGCCCCCCGTGTCCGGGCACGCGCAGCGCGCCCCCTCGGTGCGCGGGCACAGCAGCCAGGCTGCCGGAGAGCTGATCTCGGGGATTCGGGTGCGGAGCCCTTGGCCTGGAGGCGATATGGGTGGTCCGTGGCCGGGTTCAGTCGTTTGCAGCCGCCTGGGGAACAGGTGAGGCCGCCTGCTCCGGTCTCTCATCCTCTAGCTGCCCATACCTTTCCCCAATCCTGTCCCCTCCCAATCCCGGATCCCTCCACCTCCCCAGCCAGTGGCTCCCATCCTTCTCAATCCCCCGTGTTCTCCATAGGTACCCCTGACCTCCCAACCCTCTCCCTGGCTTTGCTTTTCTCCTCTATCTCCTCCCTAAATCCTGCATCCCTATCATCCTCCCGCCCATGGTCCCTCTATTTCTATGGTTCAGCTTGCATGCTTACCAAAATACCCCTAACCAGAGCCCCTAGCCCCATTCCAGTATTGCACATTGCTAATACCCTCTCCCCTGCAGTGCACCCCCATCCCCCTTCCATCATAGCATCTTATAGCCAGGTTCCCTCCCCCACTCTCTGCAGCCCCCCCACCCAATGGAGGCCTTTATTCTATCCTCCCCATTCTAGGGCAATTTCATCCTCCAATACCATTCCAACCCTACATAGCCCCCAATTCTGCAGTTCTCAACACTGGTCCATTCCAACACAATGCCCCTTACCCAATACCGCTCCAGCCCCCAAAGTCCCTTTAGATGCCATTCTCATCCCAGCATCGCTGCCTCCCCTTGTCTTTTCCCAAATTGCAAGTTGGACCAGAATGGAGATCTTGGCCTTGGGAACTCACAGTGGGTCCTAGGGTACAGAGGGCATTTGGGGGTCGGTTGGTTTGTCTAGGTGTTCACCAGAGGGAGGGGCTGCAGCGAACTGATTCAACAGGGGAATTTGGCATTTGGCGCCGAAGGGTTACTGGAAAGGAAGGCCTTGAGAAAGGGTTAATGGAATTTATGAGGTGGGGGCAGCATCGAGGGGGTTAATGGGGGGGTGCTGGCAGGGAAGCCGTGTGAATGAGCGGTCTGTGCCCCAGAGTTGCCATGGAGACGGTGAATGGGGGGATTGTGTGAACTCAGCTGCGGACTACCCCCCCCCATATACACACCCACCCACTCCCTCCTGCCCCACCTCCCTCTACCCCTTCCTTCCCCTTCCCCTCCTCCTCTCCACCCGGGTGCATTCTGGGCAGTGTCTGGGATCTCCCCACCCCATACTTTGCTCCCCATTTCCTTTGAGCCCCCCATCCCTTTAGTCACTTTACCCGCCTGCCTGCTTTCCTGCCTCTCTCTCTGTCTCTCTCTCTCTGTCTCTCTCTCTCTCTCTCTCTCTCACACACACACACACACACACACACACACACACACACTCATTCCCCTCCCTTGGTGGCCGATTGCTGGTTGTTCCCAATCTCCCTCCCCCACCTCTTCAGCCACTTCTTAAAGGAACATGCCTGAAATCTCGCAAGGCGGGAGAAAAGGGGGAAAACTAAATGTGCCTCTGTGTGTGTGTGTGTACATGAATGCATGTGTGCATGCTCATTGTGTGCATGTGTGCATGCTGGACACACATGTCTGTGCGCCTCTGTATATGTGTTGACTGTAACTGTGTCAGAAGGCCTGTGTGTCTGAGTGTGTTGCTATTTCTGTCTCTGTCTCCACCTATGTGTCACCATTATGCCGCTTGTGTCTGGCTATTTACCTATGCGGGTATGTGTGATTTTGTTTCAGTAGGTCTCTGTGTGTTTCTGAATGTATCACTGTGCGGCTCTGGCCGTGTGAGGGCTGTGTGAGGCAGTCTGTTTTGGAATGTGGGACTAAATGAGGGGATCTCTGTGGGTTTGGAATGTATGTCTCTACCAGTGAATATTGCAGTGTCTGTGATCCTGGCTTGGTCTCTCACTGCCTCTTTGAGTCTTTGTGAGTTTATTTCATGAGTTCCAAGTGTATGCCCCTACACCCTGTTGTTTATTTTACACTGGACTGGCATCCACAATTCCTAGCGTGCTCAGCAGACCAAATTTTGCCTTTGGTTCTGGCATTTGGTGTGAATGAAGAGCTAGGCAGCTGCAATGACAAAGGTTTAAGAATTTGGCAGCAGTGAAAGCTGGGGAGAAATGTCAAGGAGGGGCATGGAAAGGTCTTTGGATTTAGGTGAATGGTTGATGTGCTCCCTGGCCTGACTGAGGGTAAAGGGCATCTCTGTGGGACCCTCTGCCTGTCTGCTGCTTTTCTTTTCTTATACCTTTGAGTCCCAGAATGAAGTTGGCAGCCATACTGGAAGCTCTACCTTCCAGCTTTCCCTATCACTACATGCTGACTCCAGAAGACCCTGGTGAACTCCACTGATGATAGAGTTGGAGTTGGGGTCCATGAATTTGCAATGGCAACAACTGTCACTCAGTTCATCCCCTTAGATTTTTTTCCAACCATGGTCAGGCACATAAAATAGTTCTGAAAAGCAATAGATCACCTGTGAGTCCCTGGAATCCTGGGCATGTGAAACCTCTGATTGTGGGAAAATAGGCCAAACCCACCAGGGTCCCAAAGACTGACTCTCCAGCCCTTCAAGACCATCTTGGATGACACATGCTTCCCTCTTTCCACAGGCCTGTCTGGCCCTAAGGGAGCCCTCTTTCGAAGTGGTGGTGCTTGGACGACCCGCTCTCTGCATTGCCGGGCACCTGTAGGTGTCCCTCGAGAGCTCAGTTTTGAGGTTCAAGTCAGTGTGGCCATGAAGGGGCTGCCTATTGGGCTGATGCTGTGACCCCGGAGTCTGCCTCTCCTGCCAGTACCCCTGCCCGGAACATGTGGCTGCAGCTTGGCCTGCCCTCGCTGTCCCCGAGCCCCAGGCCCACAGTTGGCCGGAGTCTGTGCCTCATACTGTGGTTCCTCAGTTTGGTGCTGAGGGCCAGCACCCAGGCCCCAGCACCCACAGTCAATACTCACTTTGGGAAGCTAAGGGGTGCCAGAGTACCATTGCCCAGTGAGATCCTGGGTCCTGTGGACCAGTACCTGGGGGTACCCTACGCAGCTCCCCCAGTCGGCGAGAAACGTTTCCTGCCCCCTGAACCACCCCCATCCTGGTCGGGCATCCGGAACGCCACACACTTTCCCCCAGTGTGCCCCCAGAACATCCACACAGCTGTGCCCGAAGTTATGCTGCCAGTCTGGTTCACTGCCAACTTGGATATCGTCGCTACTTACATCCAGGAGCCCAATGAAGACTGCCTCTACTTGAATGTCTATGTGCCCACGGAAGATGGTGAGTGCTGCGGCCAGGCACTGTGCCCTCCTTGCCTCCCGCCTGCCCTGTTGTGTTTGTGGCTTGCATGTGGTTGTGTGCCCTGCAGCATGCGTCTGTCTGTCTGTGAAAATGCTTCTAACCATCACTCCGCTTGGCCTTTCCCCTCCCTGTTCTTCCCTCTCCCAGCATTGTCCGAGCTCCCATGTGTGAGTGACACTGATGCCAGAAGGGGGCTGGCCAGGCCTGAGAGCTTTGACAGGTCTAGGTCCAGTACTGGATGGGGTACCCTGGGGGAGTATGGGTGACTGCTGGCAGCTGCCCGCGGGAGGATGCTGGCTCCACCAGGCCCCCCTGTTGCCATTCCACCTGCTTCAAAAGGTGGTAGGTGTGTGTGGCTGAGGGAGCTCGGTGTGTGTGGGGGGTGGGGGGCAAGCCTGGTTGGCGATGCTTAGGTGCCTCCTCTTCCACTAGCTGATGCCTCCTCCCGCGGGGGTCACATTAAGGTAAGTGACAGAAACAAGGAGATGGTGGGACAGGCTCTCTGCCATGTGCCGCTGCAGAGCAGCTCAGCTCTTGGGGCCTGGGTGGGGGGGATGCATGCCCCTGGGCAGAGGCCTCCTGTTATTTTTTAGTTTTTTATTCATTTTACAGTAAAGCGGATTTCCAAGGAATGCGCCCGAAAGCCCAACAAGAAAATTTGTAGGAAAGGAGGTAGGTAGCGAGCCGGCGGGGAGGGAGAGAGAGAGAGAGGGAGGGCTGCCTGCCCACCTGCCCCTGCCCCTTGAGGACCCAGCCTTCCTTCAAGTAGGCCAGGTTGACAGGGCTATGAGCAGACCTAGGGTCTCAGGCTTAAGGTTCCACCTCCTCCAAGGGCCCTGGCTGCTTTGCAGAGAGGATCCAGTGGCCTAAGGCAGGTTCAGAGCAGAAGCAGAAAGTCCATTGCTTCCGATCTTCCCAGCTTCCCTAAGGAATGTACCAAAGATAGAGCCAGTGGCTCTTTTGGTAATACCTCAAAAGAAAGCAGGCAGGCAAGATGGAGCCAGAAGCTCCTCCTTCCCCTGCAGCCAGTGCAGATACAAGGAGCATCCCTCCAGTAGTCAGTCCTGGGTTGAAGGTCTGTACTCAACTCTCCCCCGCCGCAGCTTAAGAGAAACTCAGGCACACACATTGATTTGCTCTTTGGCAGCACACCCTGCCCCTGCCTCATTGCCTCTGAAAGACCCGGGCTACTCCTGTGGCAGAAATTGGAAATCTCTAGAAACTGTAGACTCTAAAGAAAGCCAATTTTAAATTCACCCTCCTGCTAAAAGAAATTTGTTTCTCCATATAGTAATGTTTCCTGTTTGGACCCCACTTTATGTTTTCTGCAAGGGTTCTCATATTTACCTCCTAAACGCCTCTCCACAACCAGGGAAGCAAGCAAGGCAGGAAGCAGTATTCCGATTTTACAGATGAGGAACGGAGCCCAGGGGAGTGACTTGCTGCACAAGGCCCTGTTGCCGGTCTAGAGCAGATCTGGGGCCAAAACCTAGAGCTCTTGATCCTTACGGAATGTTCTTTCCACTGTAGCCCCATGGAGGCAATTACCACCTGGCCAATCCCACCTCCCTGAAACGTAGGTCAGATGTGGCAGGGTTGGGCTGATCGGCTCTGGTTAACAGCCTAAGGAACAAGGACAACCACAACCCTTACAAGCCTTTGGCAAGCTTGGCCTTTGTTTTCCTTTGATGCTCTAGGGCAGGGTTTCTCCATTGTCATCAGGATTCCTGGGCTGGAACGATCCCTACTGAATGAGAATCTCTAAGGACAGGCGCAGAATCAGCACATTCAAAAGCTTGGATATGGAGGGCTTTTGATACACGCTGGAGCATGGAGTCAGACTTGCTGCTGCCCTTAAGAAGTGTTTTACCTCTCTTCACATCCAGCCCAGGCCCTCACACGCAGTAGGAAGCATGCACAGGCTCTCATGCAAATGAAGGATCTCTGTAGTACCGCCTGAGCGAGAAGAGCACTTGTCTAGGAGGCACCCCCTGACTGACTCCTGGGCTCTGCTGCCAACTCATAAGCCATTCTTTTTATTGCCTTTCGGTTTTCTTTGCTCTGCCATGTTTTGTTTTTTGGAGCGGGGGTCTTGCTCTGCAGCTTGGGCTGGGCATGAATTCTTTATATAGCCCAGGCTCAGAACCTCCATTTCCACACAGAAAGGCAGAAAGGCCATGCTGGCTATAACCTTCCATTAACCTATACCTGTATTCAGGGAAAGGGTTACAAAGCTGCTCTCATGAGTTACCACTTAGTGGGGTGCAGTGGGGGCGAGGAAGAGAATGCATTACTATTAGCCACTGCTTAGGAAGAAAGATCTTTCAGGGCTCCAGAAAGAGCATAGGGCAGGCCAAGCTCATGCTGAGATTTTGGCCAGATTGCTGACTGGAAGCCACCATGCAGTGTGAATATTTTGCCAATTGTAATTGTGAACGATAGGCAAGGTGCTGTTGGGATGTGAACAGAGTCTAATCATTGTTCTGAAAGAGCTCCTAGGCTGGTATTAAAACACTGTTGGATTCCATAAGCCCATCGGCCCTTCTGGGAAGTGGGCTTTAGATACAATAGGGGAGGACATTTGTTTACCTGTTCAAAGTAGTTCCCTATCCTTGGCACATGGTGTGTGTGTGTGTGTGTGTGTGTGTGTGTGTGTGTGTGTGTGTACATGGCACCATTTCTGTGGGTGGTGCCTGGTAAAGCCTATTGCAGCAAGAATTGAATTGTTCATCAATGACATACTAAAGGAGGATGTACAGGGAAGTCTGGGACAAGGCTGGGGTGATGTAGCAAGCCAAGTACCCTCAGAGCTTCAGAGAAGAAGACATCAGAAGTGAAGGGGGTCCTGGGAAGGATTTGTTCCAGCTCTACCTCCATGGAGCTGAAAGGAATTTATGTTTAGGAATGAATGAGTGATTCTGTTTGGTGACTGATCCACTGGGTGGCCATGTCTCACTGAGATTCTGAGGGCAAGACTGGCAGGTGTTGAGCTAATGTGTTAAGACACTAGGTGCCACTGGAAGTGCAGGAAGCCAGAGGCTGTTTCTACAAGAGCTGGGCTTTTGCCCAAGTTAAAAAGCCATCTTGTGTTATGAGGGTAGTTCCTGTTTTGATCCATAACTAAAAGGCTATTCAGTCACCGGAGTGCAGTCCAACAGAGAAAGAGGGCCATTTGCTTGCTCCAAGTTCAAGGTATCTGTGATCCTGGAAGGGAGAGGGTAAGGTGTGGGGCACCAGCAGAATGACTTCCATTCTGACATTGACCAGCAACCAGGGAATAGATCGTGTCTTTTCACAGCCTTTCCAAGATACCCTTCTAGTCTCCTCAGAGCAGGGAGGAGGAGTGCCAGCCTACCCCTAAGTCCTGAATCCCTTCCTTCCTCCTCTACTCCCTTTCCTCCCTCCTCCCTTCACGCTGCACCTCTTCTCTTGTGTGTTTCTTCCTTCCTTCCCTTTCCCTCACCCCTGAAAGGTGGCATGATGCAGTGGAAAGACCATGAGGGCTTTGGAGTCAAGCAGACCTGGGTTTCATTCATACTTCTAGCGCTTCCTAGCTGTGTGATCTTGAGCAAGTCACTTTACCTCTCTGAACCTCAGTTTCCCCATCAGTGAATGAGGAATAAAGACGGTGCCTACCTCCTTGGGATATAAGGATCAACCAGTACAGCAGAAGTAGAATGTCTGGCATGTGTTAGATGTTCAGTACTCAGTATATGGTAGAAACCATTTCTCTCTCTCTCTTTCTCTCCCTCCCTCCCTCCATTCCTTTCTCCTTCCCTCCTTCCCTCCCCCTCTGGCTCTCTCCTAGAGCAACATTTGCTGCTGCTCTTAAAACTGGTTTGCCATTAACAAGAGCAGGGGGGTCCAGTGAACAAGGCCAGAGGCAAAATTTCATTTCCCATCTTCTCCTGTGGGAATCAGGGTCAGCTGAGGCCCGGCTCGAATCTGCCCACTGGGACTTGGGAGCTCAGACCTGGGATCCCTGGTAATCACCTCTGCCCTAAGTGTATCACATAGACATCCGCAGATGCTGGCAATGTCACTCCTCACCTTCAGTACCTATCCCTGCCCTCCAGCTCAGCCTGCCTGTGTCTACACATGCAGCCCTTCCATCCCCATCCAGAATGAAGTTTCCACAAGTGGGCCTCTGGCTCTGTGCCCCAGCCCACCTGCTGCTACCTCCTTCCTAACTGAATGAACTTGATTGGGGACAGGGAGGCGGGGCAGGGAGGTGCAGGGAGGTCAGCACAGCAGAGGCCTGCAACACCATCATCCTGATGAAGGTCTGGGCCTCAGCCCACCCATTCCCTCAGTTCTTGCCATCCCTCCTGCCTGTCCTGGGCCCAGGCCCAGAGCTGGCTTGCTGGGCCACACTGCAGTCATGCTGTTTTTGAATTCTCTCTCTGTTTTGTTCTCTGTTCTGTGCTGTTGTGTCTCCCCGTGTCTGGTCCCCAGGATCCGGCGCTAAGAAACAGGGCGAGGACTTAGCGGATAATGACGGGGATGAAGATGAAGGTATTTGGGGGCTGCAGGGCGCGGCGGCTGGTGCATGGCACAGAGCCCCTCCCCTTCTCAATGGGGAGAAGCCCCGTCTGTCTGTCTGTCCGTCCGTTGGTGTGTTTCTGTTCCTGTACAAGGCCGCTGGGCTGTTCCTCCGTCTTTGGTCTCATTGGCCACTGGGACTTCTGGGGTAATGGACACGGCTGGCAGGAGCAGGGGAATGGCCATAAGTAGAGCCGTAGGGAGGGTGTCTTCCTGGCCCTGGCCCCTGACCCTCTCCCATCTTCTATGACTCATGGGCACCTGCCCATATGTGGCCACAGAAATGCTGAAGAGCAAGCAGGGCCAGGGAAGGGGGAAACAAGCGCAAAGAAACTGGATGGTGAGTGGGTGCCTGGGATTCACTAAGGAGACCTCTGCTCTCATGAGGCGCCTAGCTCTTGGGAGAGTGGCCCTGCTAGGTCACACCAACAGGGAAATTCAAGGCTAGCTCTTCCCCAGCTTTCTCCCCCAAAAGAAAGATGGCCACAGGGCCAGAGGTTGTAGTAGGTTGGGGACAGAACCAGAAAAACTGTGGCCTAACAAACCAGGCTGAGGCCCAGACACCACAGCCATCAGTAGGTGAAGTAAGATTCTCTGGTGGTGATGGGATGAGCTTTCCTCCTTGGGGTAACGAGATTGTTTGTGCTGCAGCAGAGAGCATTCCCTACTCCACCCATGCTCTGGGCCCGCCCCTTTGGAGGCCCTGGAGGGGCCAGGCAGTTCAGGGGATCCACTGGTGACCGGCAGGGCTGTGCCGGTGTGCCAGCTCACAGACTGACGGGTGACAGGCAAGTCAAGGTCGGGCCTGGAGCCTTCCCTTGATTGCTCCAGCCCAATACCGTGCTGACTGGGCTCCGGAGCACCCCTTGATGAGCCCTTGGGCACTGGTCTGGGTGGAGACTTCTCCTACATCATAACTCTGGCTGAGGAGGCCTTCTCATGCCGAGTTCTGCTCCACCCCAGTGTTTCCAGCTAAGTTTGCCCAGGAAGAATGGGATTATGGGCATGTGGTTAAGAAACCATGTCTAAAAGGTTCCCCCACCCCATCTCTACCATTCACTACTCCCCTTTTCCCCACCTTCCTGTTCTCTCCCTGTACCACCCTTCTTGTCTCTGTCTGCACTGGGGGGATCCAGCTGCTGCCAATGGCCGTTTTTCCATGTAACTGGTCTAGTCCTGGGGGTTTCAGGGCTCCCCAGCTCCTGCTTTCTAAAGCCATGCCAGGTCCCAGGACTCCTGGGTGTGCAGGGCAGGAACTCACCTGATGCTGCTAAGGGACCACCAAGCCCTTGTTACTCCTTGCTATCCTAGAAGCCAGCCGTGGCCACCCAGGCCCAGACGAACTATACCCACATGGTCTTCTTCAATTGGGAGGTGCTTTAAAAAAATTATACAAGTTCAGCTCTCTCTAGGCAATATTTGAACTCTGGGCCTAGTAGCCCTACGAGTCCTGCCCTCAGGGATGGCGGTGGTGTCCTGGCACCTGGAATAGCTTTGCTGTCCGCACCCCCACCCCAGGGCTGGCGGGGGTAGGGGAGCAAGGGCATTGTACCTAGCCTGTGTGTCACCCATTCTTCTTACAGACATTCGGGACAGTGGTGCTAAGCCTGTCATGGTCTACATCCACGGAGGTTCTTACATGGAAGGGACAGGCAACATGATTGATGGCAGCGTTCTTGCAAGTTATGGCAACGTCATCGTCATCACCCTCAACTATCGGGTCGGGGTGCTAGGTATGGTTCTCCGCCAGGTGGCTAGAAGGAAGGCTGCTTTTGAAGGGAAGGGGAATGAATCCTGGGGAAGTCAACTCAGGTACTCTTAGTTCTCTACCTGGTGTTAATGACCAGATTAACACCATGATGTTATTCTGCCACCCTTACCCAAATACCAGGGGTTCTTCTCATCCCCAGGCTCTTTTCCTGAATATTTAGGTGCCAGTGGAAATTCAACTCAAATTTTATACTTTTTTAAAGGAGGGGTTAGACAGGGTAGTCTAGGCTGGTCTTGAACTCAGGGTCTTCAAGCTTCCCAAGTGCTGAGATTATGGCCATGGGCCACCATGTATGACTGAATCTTCACACCAAGTCTCAAGCTAGACCTCTGTTACCAGACCTCTGATTGGCTGCGTTCTGTAGGCCCTGTTAATTTTCTATAGTCTTATTCTCTTCATTTCTACCCACCCAGCCCCACAGTCCTAAGTACCTATACATACACAGTTATTCCTTCTAATCCACCCTGCAACCACACACCCTTATACACTCACACATCACGTCCATCCACCCACTCCCACGCATACAAATACTTCTCACTCTCTGAGGCACATGCGCACACAGCTCCAGTCCACTCCTACACTCACCCTCACAGAGCGAGACACATACAGTCTCACTCACACACATCTCCACATTCCCACACACTATATGCTCCATATCCACACTCTATACAGACTTCTCTCACCTTCCATATATCACTGTGCTCCACATCTTTTATCCATAGCTACACCACACATACAACACACTCCCAGAGTCACAATTCCTGCTGCCCCTATATTGACACCTTGTACAAATAAATACCTAGACTCTGCATCCACACCCAAATTCCACATACCTTATATATACATAAATATGCCTTCCACTACCCCTACACATCCACACACACACATCTGTACCCTCCCACATGCCCTACTTATGCACTCACTTCACACATGATGTACTTCACATATGCATACATTTTCTTTCTCCTACTCTACATAATAAAAACCAATATTCTTTCTCCCTACATGCATTTAACTTCCTACATGTCCACAACACCCACCCCATAAATTTACAGCTACACACACACACACACACACACACACACTGCTTCCACACTGGTGACCACTCCATTCACTGATCATGTAACCCCTCATACATGCACACCAAATAGACCCCCTCCACATACCTAGATGGATATACATGTACGCAGTCTTCCCACATATACTCTGCTAGCACATACCCAATACAGACACATGTGCCCCTCCCCTTACCTCTCAAATATACATACATCCTTGTACGTAGAGCTGCATCTGCACGCATACCCACACCCACACACCTCTGCCTACCCTAGCCACATTCATGCTCCCTCATGTATACACAGGTACACATTCATCCCTTCACTCTTACCCATTATGTGTATGCACACACATGCACTTCTCAAAACTGCCCCCATGTACCACCCTGTCTCCTGCCTAACACATACTCTGGCTGTTTTGGTGATTTAGGTTGTTCCTCTATCTTATACCTTCTTTGGTGGCTGCTAGTACCCCTCTGTGGCCAAGGTCTTGAGATAAACAAGTACCCCAGAGAAGGTGACAGAGCATATAGGACCTTGCTTCCTTTTAGATGCTCACCCAGGTTCCACATTCTGGTAGTGGCATGAAGAAGCCATCTTCTTCCATGGGGGATTGTGTCCTCAGGGTTTGGGGGGGGGGTTCTGTGGGCCCAGTTGTTAAATCAGCAGTTTGTCTGCTTGCTGGGCAGGAGTTTCTTTGAATTTGCTCTTGGCTATGTTGCTTTGCAAGTTCCAGTCCAAGCAGCCCTGGTACTGCATTTTGCTTCTGGGCAGGATTATATGCACAGAATGGCAGTCTCCTCTTGACTTACCCACAATTCTATGTTGGATATACACCTGTTTGGGGGGGTCAATCTGGAGAAGCGAGGTTAGGTGTGGTGGTGCATGCTTCTCATTCCAGCACTTAGAAGGCAGAGGTAAGTGGGTCTCTATGAGTTCAAAGTCAGCTAGGTCTACATACCGAGTTCTAGTGTAGCCAGGCCTACATAGTAAGACTCTGTCTCAAAAACAAAACAAAAAGAAAAAATACTTCTAGAAAAACGATGTACCTGAAAAAATGTTTTAGACTGTGTCTCCTCCAATGGCTCCCTGGGACCCTAGTTATGCAACCTGTAGGGCACCTCTCTGGTGTCTTCATTGATCTGATGGGCTTTGGCTTTCATGATTTTTTCCTGTCCCTCTTCGTCCAATACTGCCTCAGTCACCATGACAAGGCTCTTATGTCCTGTTTAGAAAGGTGATCTAAGTGTCAAAGTACCACAGAGGTGACCACAAACTCACATACCAGGGCCACACGGTTCTGAACGAGCAACAAAGGAACAAATGTAATCACACACAGATCAACATACACACATACACAGTGACTGATGACCCAAAGCAATTTGCTTATTTCTTTTGGCTAACTAAAAGAAAACACTTGCTTCAGCTGTGCGCTTTTAAGCATTATAAATACAAGACTCCACTTTACCAGCTGTATGGGAATGTGCAGAGAACACTAAGAATATGAGTGCATAATATATTATCAGAACAGCAAGGAATGGAAGAAAAGAAAGACTGGGGGGAATGAAAGTGAGGTGAAAGTAAGGAAAAGAATAAAATGACTGCTGAGTGAAAAGAGGTTGGGAATAGCAATGGGACACGAGGCACAGAGGAAACACTAGATTTCAGTAGCATTCAAGGTCTCCATGGGCTGTGGCTGGGGCTGTGGGCTGTAGGAAAGGCACCTGATTGGGAGCATTCTGTATGGTGTCCTGGATTGGTTTTGTTTCGGAGACAGGGTTTCTCTGTGTTCCATGGCTGCCCTAGAACTCTATTTGTTGACCAGGCTGGCCTCAAACTCACAGAGATCTGCCTGCCTCTGCCTCCCAAGTGCTGGGATTAAAGGCATGCACCACCACCAGGCCTGATGTCCTGGTTTTAATAATTACCGCTCATCAGCCACTCTAACTTTTCAGCTTCTCCATGAGAAATTCTTAATCTTTTGAGGAGGCCTTGCATGCTTCTGAGATTATGACAGCTAGGGACTCTTCATCAAAACAACACACACACACACACACACACACACACACACACACACACACACACACACTTTTTGTTTTTAAAGTCTAAGTCTTGCCAGGGGTTGGTGGTTCATACCTTTAAAAAGCAGGCAGATCTCTGTGAGTTCAAGGCCAGCCTGGTCTACAGAGAGAGTTCTAGGGCCTCCAGGGCTACACAGAGAAACGCTGTCTCAAAAAACAAAACAAACAAAAAAACAAAAAACAAAAAAACCCAACTAACCAATCAAACAAACAGAAGACTAAGCCTCACCCTGTAGCCCAGGCAGCCTTAAACTTGAGACCCTCTTGTCTATGCATCCCAGCACTGGGATTAAAGGCATATGCTACCACACTCATCACACAAATAGTTAAAAAAGAGAACTTCACAACTAGCTCCCCCTGCAGCTCAACCATGAAACTCAGGCTGACAGCAGACCTTACAACCTCCCCTCATTTGGATCATCAGAAAAGCTCATCTTTAAGCAATTAATGATACAAAGAACATCAGTCTACACTTAGGAAGAATTATAAACTGAGATTTGGTCAGGAATTCCTGACCAGTCCTTACATACTCTTCAGTGACTATTCTAGAACACAACTATAATCAATAAGCCGCTGATTGCCTTCTGGGTACATACAAGATGTTTTTGTCTCTTGGCACTAGATGTAGAACATGAGTTTGTTCCTGATGCTTGGGGAGTTTGATGTGTAGCTGTGGGTCTGTTGTTTTGTTTTCCAAAGACATTAAAAAAAAAGCAAAACAGGTGACCAGCTTTGGATTCTACAGTTGTATACATTCACTTGCCTTCCCTCCCACCAGCATCACCTGAGCACTGAATACAACCAGTCGGTGTAAGAAGCTTCTCTAAGAGTCTTGAGAATGTGGCAAGTTAATTCACAAAGATCTCCCCCAACCTCTGACCCACCAAGGCAGAGGGGGAGCTATTTTTTTTTGAGACACTCCCACTGGGCTTGGGGCCAACAAAACAAAAGGAATCCAGCAGGATATAGGATGCGGATATACCTAGAAGTAGTGGCTATACTGAGAACATAATGGCTTGCCAAGTTTTATTCTGGGTTCCAGAATTAACTTAATTCCACATCATTGCTCAGGTATCTTCCAGGCAAGCGGAAAACATGGGGAGTGACAATCCTGGACTGACACATATACCTAGTTTTGACGCAATCTGCCAGATTCCTCCATCTTCTGTTGACAAGCAGCTTATATATACTCCAGTATAAACTTGGGTTCAAGAAGGCTGACTCAGATTTATTTTGACAACTTGTGGAGTCTTTATTCTCACATAGTTTCTGTAAAGGGCCACTATTCTAGGGAGCTATCAATGAGTGGATTTTCTCCTAGGCTGCAAGGCTTTGTGCACTCCTGATCAGTCAGTCATGCTTAACCCATCACCTTCTGAGCCAATTGGCTATAGTACTTGGAGAAGAACTGTCTGTGTAGTCTGGATTAATGGCATGGCCCCAGCCACATACTTCACAGTTCCTTATCCGGAAGCTCATGAGACCTGAGAGAGCAGAGCTATGGCCAAACCCTCTACTCAGGCTTTTCAGGCAGATCTGCACGTCTCTTTCTCCACCTGTCTGTCTCTCTGTCTCCCTTCCTCTCCTTCCCTCTCCCTTCCCGCTTTCTCCCTTGCTGTGTACTCCAGAGTGGCCTTGAACTCAATCCTTGTGGCCTTGAACTCAAAATTCTCATGCCTCTGCCTTCTGAGTGCCATGGAAGTGTGCGCCAACCATGTACAACTAGGACAGGCAACTTTAACTTATCTCACCAAATGATGCCTTGAGAAAGATTGAAGCCAAATAGGTTATTGTCCAGAGGAGAGAAAGGGAAAAGAGAGTATAGGGGAAGGAGAGAAAAAAGGCAGACACATGGTAAATTTTGCTAGAAGATCTCATGGCTTGGGCAGCTGAGTTGGGTGTTGGCTGGCATAGGGATCTTTGTTGTTTTGGTTTTGGTTTTGACACCACCCTCAGCCGAGCATAGGTTTTAAGATTCTCAGGAGTCACTTGCATTTCTGAATAGGACCTCCCCCTACATAGACACTGTCCCCTCTGCCCCCATCTGAAGAAGTAGAGTTCTTCCAGTCATTGTTGCTCAAGCTTACTCTAATCCCCTGTCCTTTCCTCATTTGGAACCTGAGGTTATGGAAAATATGTGCCAAGGTTCTGGGGGGAATAAATAACTACTTATATACTTAATTTTACCAAAGGAAATTAATAACACCCTCAAAGATGGTGAGGTGAACTCTTTTGCAGAAGCTAGGTACAGACAGACCTGAGAAAGATAAGTGATGTGGTTTCTGTCTGCTTGGCTCTATTTGAACTAAGCTTCTGCCTGCAGACTGTCAGGACTTCCAGCCAGCTCTCTGTGAGTGAGCTGTGTGCTCCTCCAACATGTCCCTGAACCAAGCTGATTCCAGGTGCTGCAAACAGGCTTTTAACTGTGGAGTCAAAGAATACTGATCCAAGTTTGGGTTTGCAGTGTGTAGGAGCACAGCAATTACACCCACCTGGAAAGGATCTTTCCAGAAGCCTAGATCAGGAGAAGATAGATGGAGCCTTCCAAGGAACCCAGGGATCAAGGAGGAGACAGAGGAAAGGAGGCAGCAGGATCCTTCTAAAATGGAAGAGGGATGATATAGGACATCTCTGTGGGATAGCCAGCAGGTGGGCGGGAAGGTAGTCTCCATGGTAACAAGTCTCCACAGCAGCAAATCCCAGCAGGTGGGTGGGAAGGTAGTCTCCATGGTGACATGTAGTCTCCTCAGCAGCAAATCCCAGTGGGTGGGCGGGAAGACCTGTTTCTGTGGTAACGCAGTGCACTGACTTCCTCGTTTCTCCACCAGATGAAAAAGATGATCTGACCCAGTGGCTTCTCAACTTTAGCAAGCATCAGCATCACCTGGAGAGCTTGTTAACAACACATATTGCTGGGATGCATCCCCTAGAGTTTTTGATTGCTTAGGTGTTGGAGGAAGGGAAATGAGGACCTGCCCCGAGAGTGATGAGAAGGGGGCCATACCAAAGCCCTGGAAAGAATTGGAGATGGACAGATTTGCACAGGAAGGGCAAGGCGAGATTAGGGATTGTTGCCTGTGGGCTCTCCAGAGAGAGAACAAAAGGGAAAATGTAACTGTAGATCTGCCATGTGCTTGGCTTATGCTCATTTTATCCTCGTTACAACCCTTTGAGGTATTTTTATCCCCATTTTACAGAAGAGGAAACTACAGCCCCAGAGATTTTAAATAACTTGCTGAAGGCCACATGTCTAAGATGCTGGATTTAACCAAGGGCTGTTTGGCTCCAGGGTTCTTGCTTTCTCCACTGCATCTTGTCTGATGTTAGAGTCACATCCCCAGATACTACATCAGGGCAGAGAATGCTGAGTTCTGGCCATTTGCAAGCCCTGCAGTTTAACTCTTATGCCTAGAGGAAATAATCACTTCAAATGCTCTGCCCCTCCTTCCAAATTGGATCATGGGTGGGAAGCAGGGGGTTCACCCTGCCTATATTGGTGATGCTGGGCCTCGCAAAGAGAAGCAGTGGTTTTTGTTAGCATTAGTGAGATGGGAAGTGCTACATGGCTGCATGCTTATCCTCCATGTGACACCTTCCCAAATTCATTTGTGCCATCATATCCCAAATCCTGCATCCCTTCACCTTCATTATCCTCATGCCTTTTGTTAAATCTAGGTTTCCTGAGCACTGGAGATCAGGCTGCCAAGGGCAACTATGGGCTCCTTGACCAGATCCAAGCCCTCCGCTGGGTGAGTGAGAATATTGCCTTCTTTGGAGGAGACCCTCGTCGAATCACTGTCTTTGGCTCGGGCATTGGTGCATCCTGTGTCAGCCTCCTCACGCTGTCTCATCATTCTGAGGGTGAGTAGCTCTTGAGATCCAATATAGAACAGTTTATGCTGGTACACTTTTAGCTCCAGGTATCTCAGGCTCTGGAATGCCTGGCTCCACATCCCAGACGTGCCCAGGGGGATCAACAAGCCCTCTCCTACCAGTTCCTTGGGGGAGACAGGGTGGGAAGGAAATCTTTCTGTGCAGGAAGAACTACTTCTCCTCATGTGAAAGAAATCCCCATTCACACCCTGAGAACGATGCTCGTCTCACATGGGAGTCTTATTTGGAGAATGGGAATAGACTGCCTCTCTCTGATGGGACAATAGTTCCTTGTAGGCAAGGACAGCTTTCAGTACAAAGGGCATGTTACTTCAGAGTCAAAATCTAAGGTGAATATTGGTTTCTAGGTATAAGAAACACTCATTGTCTACCTTTCTTGAAAGAAAAACATCTGTACAAGAGGAGAAATGGCCTAGCAGGAGAGGTGAGACTCTCTGGCCTGGGACATGGGCTGCTCTGAGGGAGTAGACTGTTGTTGGACACCAGAGTCCCTCCAGGGCTATCCATCTCACTAAAATGACACTCATTTTGCCCTGTTTCTGGTGTGGGTCCTTCTGCCAGTGAGTTTCTGAAGGGCTGGCATGGGCCCTGTTTTGCTAGGCAGGGGAACATTCCTTTCTGTCTAGACTATAAAAACATTATATCTCTGAGAGGCAAAGCTGAGCTCCTTATGGACAAAAACTGTCCTTGAAATAAGTGCCCTTCTCTAAAGTGAGGAAAAATATGAGCGAGAACACATTTTTATAGTTGAGATTGACCCTGTGAGGGAGGACTCTTACAAGAAGCCTTGCCATCTTTTGAAGAAGGCTTGTCTCTGAACTCAAGGAAGCATCTTCACGGCACCAGAAGCTCTGTTCCTGTGCTGCTCTAGAAACAGCCCTGGTGGAAAGCTAAAGTTCTGTGTGCATCTGCAAAGAGAGGGGATGGCAAGCCAGGCATGGTGGTCCACACCTGCAATCACAGTGCCTAGGAGGCTGAGGCAGGAGGAGTGCCACAATTCTGAGGCCAGCCAGGGCTACCGGCAAGATGTTTTCTCAGAAAGAGAACACACATACACGCGCGTGCGCATGCACGCAAGCGCGCGCACGCGCACACACACACACACACACACACACACACACACACACACACACACACGAGAGGGGCGGATATGAATGAGCAAATGAATGAATGAAGGGAAGGAGGCCTGAGTTACATCCCCAGCACCACCAGAAAGAGTATCTGTTTTTAGGTGACAGTAGAGAGAACAAAAATCCTCTTTTTTCCTCTAGAGGAGGGAGAGATGACTGGCTGTAAGGATGCCTGTGTCTGAAGAGAGGCCTGGCACCTCTTGTGACTGGGACTCTTTCCTGCAACGACACTGTGCTGTGTATCTTAAGGGGGACTGTGACTCTAGAGTCCTGGGCGTCTTTAACGATCTGTTCCCTCTGGGAAGAGGTGCGGCTCAGTGACAAAGCGCTTGCTTACCTTGTGGGACGCTGAGGGTTCCATCCCCAGCACTTAAGAAATGTCTCATGGAGGATATCTGGGAAAATTACTCTCTTAAGCAGTAATTCATACTTCTCTCCCTCTCTCTCTGCTCATGTAAGATCATCTTTCCATTGGCCCTGAGTACCTGAGAGCCAAATTCTCCCTTGGGAGTATTGCGGCCAGGGAAAGATAGTTTTGTCTTTGGAGAGATGGAAGACTCTTCTTTTTGAATTTGGGGGATGGGGTCCCCCTAGCTATGGGGAATCTGGATGTGATGTGTCTGTAGCTTCAGCAAAAGAGGATCTGTGCAGAGAACACACTGCCAGGGCACGTGCCAAGAGACTCTTAGACCCCAGGGCCTTTGCTCTTGGGATTCATCCCTAAACTCCCAGAATGTGGGGCTCTCTCCTGCCTGAAT